GCCTTGGACCAATCAGGCTGTGATAAAACCCACGTGTGACCATTCCCTCCTCCCATTCTGGAAAATGGAAGGCTCCCACCCTCTGAGAGACATGCACCTGCTCTCTTCTGAACCCAGAAGGAAATGGCCCTCAAGGCAGATTGTGGTTGGTGGAGGTGGACTTCACTGCCATGCTGCTAGTGAACAAGGGAAGCGGCCCGAGCTCATCAGAGACAGGCCGAGTGAGAAAGCCACCATTTTTGTCTGGCAGGAAAGAGGTGGCTGGTGTCAATCAGCAATGCCAGGGAGAGGAGGACCGTCCCTGCCCTGCCACTGTCCCAGGAGAGAACTTTGGCACACACACAATCTAGAGGACAACTGTCCAGGATGCCCTTTCAGAGACTGCCGGCACAATCGCGACATAGGATCTCATCGTTGTCAGGGATGAAGCCCTTCCCCACCAGTGAGGTAGTGCAGCGGGAGCAGGTGAAGCAACTTTGGTGCCAGTGGCGATCCTCAAAGGAGATGTACTTGCCTCCCCCGAAACCTGGGGAAGAAAGGGAAGGCATGGGACAGGGGCCCACCTCTACTCGATTCTGCCGGAGAGCCAGCTCTCTGGAGTCCCCCTCCCGCCCAACTTACCTGTGATGGGCTTGGCACAGGTGCTGCATTTCTTGGCATAAAGGCTGCCGAAACACTTGATGCAATAGGGCTGATCCTCTTGGGAGGTGAACTGCTGCCCAGCCAGGGGGGCTTCGCAGCCTGTGCAGACGAAGCACTCCTTGTGCCATGGCTCATCCCGGTAGGTGACTCCTCCCTTGGTCAGGGACTGTGAGCACAGGAGTAAAAGCTCACCTCAGGGTCCGGCTTGGGCTCCCCCTGCCCTAGGACCCTCCTACCAGCTGCATCCCCCTCCCCTCCCCTGTTCAAGATCCAACCTTCTTGCAGCGAGTGCAGCGCGGCACAAATTTGTTCTCGTAGCAGGAGACGCAGTAATACTCGTTCTGCTCCGGGATGAAGGAACGAGCGCCAATGGGCTGCTTGCAATTGCTGCAGAGGAAGCAGTGCTCATGCCAAGTCTGCCCGTTGTACTCCAATTTCCGAGAACCTGTGGGCAGAAAGAAGGTGGGTGAGCACCTGAAAGCCCAGGGGCTGCTGGGTCTGGATCTAGGGGCATCATCATCGCACCTGGCATGACCACCTGTTGGCAGGCCACACACTGGGAGGAGAACTCCCGGCAATAGCAGCCATTGCAGAGCAGCTCCTGCCCCTGGCAGGTGAAAGGCTCATCGGCCAAGGAGCGGTCACAACGGAAGCAGCGGAAGCAGCCCTCATGGTAATGGCGGTCCTCATAGTAGAGCTCCTGTGGGGGTGACAAGCAGAGGTCAGAAGCCAGTTGCCTACCGCTTCCTGGGATTGATGTTTGTATTTCTCCTGTGAGGTGGCCCCTCCATGCCCTGCAGGTAGCCCTAGAAACAGAAGAGCCAAACTCTGTCAGCTGCCACCTGCAGCTCGCTCAAATGCACTCATGGTATGCTCAGCCCAAAGCAGACATGCCACTGCCCTTGTCTTGCCTGGGAGGCTCATCCACATGTGCAGACAAGACTCCGCCCAGCCTGAGGTAGGTTCTCATAAGCAAAATGGGACAAGAGGAGATGATGCTAACACTAGAAGCCCACCTTTACTTTGCCCCCACATCTAAAGTACCATCACAGATCCCAAAAAATAATACCCACAACGTTAAGGGCATCTCTTCCACTAACGGGATCTGGCATATTGGGATTCTACACAGGACGGATGGGCAAACTTTGTGCAAAACAATTAAGTTTGACAACAGCAACAAAGCAATGTGAGAGTCTTTTAACCTCCCAGGATGCTGCATCAGGTACCTCAAAGCAGCTGTCTTGAAACAAAGACAGGTGAACAAGAAGTTTCTGCATTTATACACACTCGACTGTCAGGCATTCAGGCTGTCTTAATAAAGACAACAGGCTTTTTAAAACACCCCCCCACCCCTGATAAAGCTCTTGAACTCCATTTTATACTTAATCTGTCCCTGCATCACCACCTCTCCTCCCTCTCTTCTCCTCATCTGAATCCTGTCAATCCAGCCCCAGCCCCAGCCCCAGCCCCCCTAGCCAAGGCAAGGGAGAGCAAACATTTCCATTTCATAACATGTGTCAGTCAGGAGGCTCCTGGATGCCTTCTACAAATTCTCAGGACTGAAACCTGGAGAGGTTGCTCCAAGAAATTTAAACTGGGTAAGCACAGTGGGGTGGGGAAAGGATTAATGGAAGAGCTTGCAGAGTGAGGACTGGGAGAGAGGAATAAATAAAAGGGGTCAGCAGCTGAGATGGTGGGTCAAAAGGGCCATGCCCACTGAAACGGTGACCAAAAGTTTTGTCAGGGAGAGGGGGGGGGGGGCTCCAGGCTTGCCCGAGCTAAGGCAGTGCCTGCAAACTACCTAGTAAGAAAAAAAAGTTTTTGTCCTCCCTGGCCCCCAGGAACACTCTGCAGGCTTCAGCAGGGCTGGGAGAAGGGGAAAAGGCTCCTTTTTTTGCAAAAACAGGGGCACTTTTCTCTTCCTGCAGCCCTGCTGAAGCCTGCAGAGTGCTTCTGGAGACTGGGAGAAGGGGAAAACGCCGCCACCCACCCCTCACTCAACCTGCTGCTCAACCTCCCTCCCACCTTCACCCAAAGCCTTGCACCGCACCAGGAGGCTGAAATTGGAAATTCTTTCCCCCTCTTGGCAACAGTTTCTCTCTGCCTCCTTTTGTAGCCAAAAAACATGCCGGTAACGGCAGTGGTGACTGAGGGAACCAGTCTGGGTGTGTGGCCAGGCTGCCATTACTACCAGTTCGGAAAGGTACGCCAGCCGAACAGGACCAAATAGGTAGGAACCCACCTCTGCTCCTTAGCTATTAAAGCAATGACATGTCCCAGGGGAATGCTGTGGAACTTACTTAAGATTTGTTTGGGTATTGGGCATTTTATATGTTCTCCAGCTTGCCTTTTAAAGGTCCCACATAAAGCATGGGGGGAGTGGGGAAGCAGGGGCAGCCTGAGCAGAACTGAGGCACCTCACCCGGCAGTCATGTCCAATCAGCTCCTTGCACTCGTCACAAGTATTGGCAAAGTGGGTGTCATAGCAGGGGATGCAGAAGGGACCCTCATCTCCCTGGATGTACTTGCGCCCATAAAGAGACTCCTTGCAGCTGGCACAGTCAAAGCCCTCTGTCATGTTGCTGGCTGGAAGTTGAGGTGCTTCCTGGGAAACAAGAAAAACAAACTGCAGTTGATTTCCCTAGCCAGGTTTTGGGGGGGAAGATCTTCCCACTGGGGAAAGTGGTCCTCCTTCTGTCTTTCTTTCCTATGAATACCCACACAAGCTGTGGAAGGGAAGATGCCACTCTGAGCTTACAAGCCACACCTTGCACTGGTGTTGAATGGTGGGGGAACTGCAATATAAAAGAAATGGTTTCTGATTTCATTTTAGACAAGGTTTCTTGTCTAAATTGCTGGATGGGCTTTATGTCCAGAGGCTCTCAGCCTCCACTGGTGATGCCAGAAGTCCATTTTCAAACTCTGGGGCACCCTTGGCTAGGTAGCCCTCCAGCTTTTCTTGACTCTCAGCCAGGCAAATTCAATCTGGGATTGGGGGCAAATCCACCACTCCACATTTGCTGCCAGCAGAAAGCAAATTCTCCCAAGAAGCTTTGGCTAGAGGCTGCCCTCTTACATGACCGTGGGAAGGGGAGCATTTTTGCCCTGCCCAGGTCTTCCAGTGCAGCAAAAGCAGATGAGCAAGGGGCTGTTATCCTCTTACAAGAAAGCCAATGGGTTGGTCTCCAGCCAGGAGCTCCCGGGTAAGCATGCCTGGACTAGCTGTCCTGAAACTGGGAGAGGGTGAGCAATCACTGTAGCCTCTAGGAAATTCAAGCAATTAATTTCTTTTTGAAATAAACCAGAGAAGGAAGGAGGAGGGGGCATGAAGAGGGATGAGGAAGAGGGAAAACTGCAAAAGCAGCACATGTGCTGCCATGTTGCAACAAAAGCTGAACTTCCACTGGCCTTTGCCAAGCCAAGGGCCCTGTCTCCTGGGACAAGTGCTGTCTTGAGCAGAAGAACCACATCCTGGCTCTCCAATCTTCCTGGCCAATTGCTAGGTTTATACTTCATAATATGAACAACATTTCTACTTTTAAAATAAATAATACCATTTAGCTGCTATATAAAAAATATAATTTTTATTATTTAATTTAACAAGTCCAGTGTACCGGGTTACCCAGCTCTCCTGCAACATTCCAAGTGGATGGCTTGCAAACTTTCTTCAGCAAGCACCATCTTTTGTCCCTTCTCCAAACACTAAAAAATATTTCCTTACATTTGAAACTGGACCTCCAACAGTGTCCAGAGACAAGAGCTCTCTTCATATGTGCTCCTCGTGCTTGGAAACAGACGCTATTTTCTAGGTCTCACTATGCCTCTCTTCCCTGTGATTCAATATCTCATCTCCAGAAATGGTGAGAATGAAGTTCCTACAGTGGGGGAGGGAGTCAACTCCTTAACAAATTCTTTCTCTAAAACAAGAGTTTGCACTTGGGCAATGGGAGAGCCTGAAGGGAACAGGAGAAGAAAGGAAAACCTTTCAGTGGTGCTCAGTGAAACAAATGTGAAGATGGACAACACAGGAGCCTGCAGAAGTGATCTGCAATGCTGGTCTTCCTGTCTGAAAACAAGGTGGTGTGTATCAATTGCACTGGCACATTTGTGACAGTCTGTGAAGAACTGGAGCAGCAGAGGGTCACCCCTGAGTTGGTGAGAAAGGATGTGCATGTGCAAAGGCAGGAGGGGCTATTACATAGACTTCCTCCACAAGAAGGCATGATGAACTGGGAGCAGCCGAGTGAAGGAGGGCAATGACCAGAAGCAATGGGCTTAGAAGCCCTCCAGAAACTTAGAAACCTTGTTTAAGTTCTTAGAAACCAAACATGGCAACAGAAAGAGAGGATGCACCTCCAAAGGGTGCTAAGGAGGAGATTGTACCCGATAAGAAGACAAAGGATCATGGTAAGTGGTGATTCATGACTACCAAAGAAATTGAAACAAAGGGTATGTTGACTGGACCTATTAGCTCAAGAGTTACACACTGTCTGCCTAGAGTAAAGATCAAGGACATGACAGAACAACTCCCAAGACCTTTCCAGTACACCAACAAGGCAATTATCCCTTCTTGCTTAGATGTGTGGAAGAAACGATATTGAGAAATAGTTGCAACCAAGACACCACAGGCATGCAGACCTTGGAAGAAAGCTCAAGTGTGCTCTCATCCTTTCTGTTTTCAGTCCTCTTTGGAAGTTGGAAGGGACCTTATGGGTCATCTAGTCCAGTGTTTTTCAACCTTGGCAACTTGAAGATGTCTGGACTTCAAGTTGCCAAGGTTGAAAAACACTGAGATTCTAGTCCAACCCCCCTGCTCAAGCAGGAGACCCTACACCCTGGTGGCAAATCTATGGCATGCATGCCAGAGGTGGTACACAGACCCCCTCTCTGTGGGCACGCACACTATAGCTGCAGCACAGTATGCCATAGGGCAGGTGTTGGCAAGCCACGGGCTCTTTTGTCCCTCTGCTGTGGCTCCCTGCTGGGCGATCCCACCGCTGGCTGGCCCCGCCCTCGCCCTATCCTCCCAGTCACCCAAAGCAGTCATTGAGGGCTGAATGCCAAGAGGCATGGATTTCCTCTGCCTTCATTTCATTTCATTTATTGAATTTCTAGGCTGCCCAATCCCGAAGGACTCCGGGCGGCTTACAGAAATGAAAAATATTAAAAAAGAGTTAAAACAATAAGACACAACAAAATTAAGAAGAAGCACAACATGCAACCAATCAAAGGGGGGCTGGACCTCAATCAAGAGGTCAACAGCCCCAGGCCTGCCGGAAAAGCCAGGTTTTAATAGCTTTACGGAAAGCCATGAGAGTGGGTAGGACCCGGATCTCTGGGGGTAGCTCATTCCATAGGGCTGGAGCAGCAACAGAGAAGGCCCTACTCCGAGGCATCGCCAGCCGGCATTGTCCTGCTGAAGGCACCCGGAGAAGGCCCATCCTGTGCGATCTTATTGGTCTTAGGGAGGTATGCGGCAGAAGACTGTCTCGCAGGTATCCGGGTAGCCTTCTGCGTTCCCATCCTGCGCTGAAGTGAACCAAATGGGCCAGGGTCTCCCTTCCCGCTAAATGGCCCCACCAAGCCTGCTTGCAAACTCCGCTGAGTACAGCTCTGTAGGTTTAGCTCACGCATCCCTCCTGGCCAGTGCCATCATGGCGGCAGGGAAGGTGTGTGCCCTGCCTGCTCCATTGTTGCCAGCCAGAGGTGGGGCTCGGAGCCACTGCCAGAGCACTACATTTGTTTGCTTGCTGGTTGCCTCAGAGGAAGGAGCTGTGCTCAAGCCACCGCCCTGGGGGAGAAAGGGAGGTAGGGGGTCTCCCCAACAGGATCCAGGTTGTAGTTGCCTTATTTTGCGTGGATCTCTAACTCTTGGCTTTGCCTGCCAGTCTCCACATGAAGCTGGGCAGGAGAGCACAGATGGATGGATGGGATAGATAGATAGAAGGATAGATAGATAGATAGATAGATAATAGAAGAGACAGAGAGAGAGGGAGGGAAAGAGAGACAGAGTGGGGGGAATGAGACACACACAGAGGGGCACAGAGAGGGGGAGTGGAAGAGAGAGAGAGTAACAGGCAGAGAGAGGGGGAGTGAGTTAGAGAAAGAGAGGAAGGGAGGGAAAGAAACACACAGAGAAGGAGGGGGAAAGAGAAAGGGAGGGAGCAAGGGGAAGAGAAAAGAAAGGGGGGAAAGAAAAGAGAAAGGGAGGGAGGAAAGAGAGAAACAGAGAGAGGCAGCGAGTGAAAGAGAAAGAGGAGGAAAAGAGAAAAACAGAGGGGGGAAAAGAGAGGGAAAGAGAGAAACAAAGAGAGAGAGAGGGAGGGATAGAGAAGAAAGAGGGGGAGGGAGGGAAGGAGGGGGAAAGAGAGAAATAATATTACAAAAGTTTTTTTAATTGTTGCTAAGCATAATATTTCAGAATCAGGAAAAAAAATGAAGGGGCATAGAAATGAATTTCACATTTTTTCTTAGAATAATTAGCTGAACTCTGTCTTGTTTATTATTATTTTAGGTAGTAAAACCTCATTATTCAGGTTAAATTGCGATAAATAAGTGGGTTTTAGATTGAAGTTTGGGCACTCGGTCTCTAAAAGATTCATCATCACTGCTGTACACAATTTCTGACAAATGACAGTCCAATCTCCTCTTGAAAGTTTCAAGGGATGAAGCCTCCACAATTTACGAAGGCAAATTTGTTCCATCTGTTGATTGTTCTCAGAAAGTTCCTCCTTATTTCTAAGTTGAATCTCTCCTTGTTCAGTTTCCATCCATTGTTCCTTGTCTGGCCTTCAGGTGCTTTGGAAAATAGGTTGACCCCCATCCTCTCCATGGCAACCCCTCAAATATTGGAACACTGCTATTGTCTCCACTGGTCCTTCTCTTCACTAGATTAGCCATGCCCAGTTCCTGTAACCGTTCTTTATATGTTTTAGTCTCCAGTTCCCTAATCATCCTGGATGCTCTTCCCTGCACTTTTTCTACAGTCTTAACATCTTTTTTATAGTGTGGTGACCAAAACTGGATGCAGTACTCTAAGTGTGGTCTT